ACCATAGACTTTGCATGTAAACCTGCTGCTCCTGACGCTGAAATCGCGTTCGGTGTGAACGCACCATAAGAGAAGTATACAGTGTGGTGCAATTAATTTTCATTAATAATATTTGTCAGAAAATTTTAACTGTAAAAAATTTTATGGCAGTGAAATCTGAACATTCAATTTTATTTGCACTGGTAACTCTTTGATTTTACGTTAACCTAAAAAGTAATTGTGAAAATGCAGAATATTAAAATAAAATTAATTGAAAAATAAAATCATCCCTCATTTTTATCAAACATACCTTACAAGCATTTAGGTCATGAGTTGTTTGTGTTGTCTGAAGGTCTTTTAGTGGGTGTTGTTTGGACTTTGGCTGTTTTTGGAATCAAACCCAGAAAATCTTTGTACAAAGAGTCCGCAATCATTTGACGTTTGACCCCAAATAAGATGCAATTTGCTGAATAAGTTGGACTATTTTTTTACTTAATGTGATTTTATGCTCAACTKGTTATTTAAATTGCCTACCACAATGAAAAACCGGAAATAATTAACTCTGCTGTTTAATTTCCCTCAGAACAGATCAGAATAAATAACATTTCTTTAGAAATTGATGTGTTTTTTTTTGTTTGTTTGGTTTTCTTGCAGCTCAGACAGACCTATGGAAATGTCTACAGTCTGTTCCTTGGTACCAGACCAGCTGTGGTCATCAGTGGGTTGAAGGCCATGAAGGAGGCCATGTTGGTTAAAGCTACAGACTACGCTGGTCGACCTCAAGACATATTAATTGTTGATGTAGTTCAGCGTAAAGGTAAGGAATGTAAAAAATGCATTAGGAGCATTTGTAGTACTAAAGATCATGAAAAAACAGTCAAACACAAGTTTGGCAAAGTTTGGACATTGTTTAAATGTAATTATTCATACTGAAGCATAGTACACATATAAAATAATAAAACTAAAACATTGTACAATTTTTTTAATGTAAAGGTAGTTTTAAGTTTTATGACAGCTCATTTAAAATTTTGTGGAAGTTTATTGCCTTGACCTTGAACGTTTAAGTTGCAGTTGAAGTTTTTATGCGGGCAAACCACTGTACAGCTGCCATTGGAACCCACGGACAAACCCAAATGTTACCCATRTTCTAGCCCAGTTGAAACTCCACTATGGCCCAGTTATTTGTTCCTTAAAGCACACACAGAGTGGCCATAAATGGCTCTCATGTAAGTAAACTAGCTAGGTCCCACTGAAAACACATTCACGGCCTGATGAAGCTTGTGGGAAAACCTCTGTAGGGCCACCATGGAACCTGCAGACATATCCACTTGTTACCCAGATTCTAACCAAGTTGAGACTCCATACACAGATGGGCCATAGATGGGCCTTATGCAAGTAAACCATCTGGGTCCCACTGAAAACCCATCACACTGGGCGGCAAGACATCTCCGTTGGGGTCGATCTCTTGCGACCACCTTTGTCTTGGTTAATATATTGCCTTGAGGTCTTMATAGAATGTACAGCGCCACTTCTGTCGGGGAYGCCCTCGTTTCCGCTTCCCCCATGGTGGTATCCACTGGATGGTGGTTTTCRGTAGGCATGTTGTTTTCTGACAGAGGACATGTCCGGCAAATCTTAGTCGGTGCTCTGTTACAATGTTGTTCAGTGGACAGGTGGCTGTTCTGCATTGGATCTCGTTGTTAGTGATGTGGTCCCAGGATGAGACTCTTAAAATCCATCGTAACCACTGCTGCTGGTCAATGTTCGGTCTTCTTTCAATCTTTGAGACGTCTTTCATGTTTCACGTGCGTATATGGCTGTTGGGATGACAATCAAGTTAAAAATGTGGATCTTAGTTGCTATGCTGATGGTCGTGGACACCCAAATTGGTTAGAGCTGCTGAAAAGCAGCTCCTGCCTTCCCAATCCGGCATGCCACGTCGTGTTTTTCATCACCATCGTTGGTTATAATGCTGCCCAGATAAGTGAGCCTTTGCACTCCTTCAATCTGGTATGGTCCGATAGTGGCAGGGGTGCCAGCCATGGCATAACTAGTTTGCATGATCTTGGTCTTCTTGATAGTTTTATACTATATTACTTTATTTATAAAGCAGTTTAAAACAGCCACTGCTGCAACAAAGTGCTGTACATATT